GGTTTTTTCTTTCTTTTTTAACTGTGGTGTTTCTGAGTTGAGCAAGTGATTTTTGGGTAGGGGGAGGGTTGGATTTAAAACAGTAAAAATTAGTGAAGGTGGTGAGTGGGATAGCTAGGGTGCATTTGGCGGGAAAAGCGCTGACTCCCGCCTAAACCCTCATTCTACGGTGACGTAGCACGTAACACTCAACTCAAAAGTGATCATTTTTTATTTACTGATTTTTAAGTAAGATTAACTTGTGTTTCGTTTGTTGAGTGGAAATAATATAACATTTGTTGTGTAGTGTAATTGTTCTTATTCTGTTTTCGTAAAGTTAGATTGGTAAAGTTGTCAATACATGACAACTTTAGTTAAAAGTGTATATATAGTATAAATACGAAATAACATAATGTAAAACACACGGTTTCTCATTATTTTCATTAAATAATATTTCTCTTCTTTCCATCTTCTTTCTCGCTGTTCTCAATCCCAATTTTGAAACCCTATATCATGGCATCATTCTCGTGAAAATCTCTTTCGTCTTTTGTTGAAAATCTCAAATCTTTGTTCAATTTGTTGATGTCGATGGCAAACCTAACTTCTATATCATCATATAATCATATATGACATTACATACTTGGTCATTTATCACTTAGTAAACTGAAACTTTTACCTTTCTATACTGAACCTTGTAAACACGTAACACCATGTGATGTTTGTCACTTATCTAGACAAAAGAATATTCCATTTAAAATCAGCACATCTGGTTCTCATACTCCTTTTGATCTTATTCATTGTGATATATGGAGACCCTTCTCAGTCTAATCATAGGGTTTTAAATACTTCTTAAAAATTGACGACACATACAATAGAGTAACTTGGATCTATCCTCTTGCTTGCAAATCTGATACTAGAAAATATTTAGAACACTTTTACAATATGGTTTTCACTCAGTTTAACTGTAAAATTACGGTAATCAAATTCAGATTCCTTCTTCATAATTTTTATACACATTATGGCGTTTTACACCAAACTAGTTGTATAGAGACTCCATAACACAATGATAAGTACAAAGAAAACGACACGACTTACTTCAAATTGCTAGAGCACTACTATTTCATGTTTCTCTTCCTTTACCTTTCTGGGTTGATTGAATTATTGTTGCTGCCCATATCATAAATGGAGCATCTTCATCTGTTTTCGGAAAATAAATCACCTTATGAAATGCTTTATAAACCGCCATCATGTGATCATTTAAAAGTCATATGTTTCTTGTGCTATGCTTCTACATTAACAATCAGTAGAAATAAGTTTGACAAAAGGCATCTAAATGCATTCTTCTTGGTTATCCAAGGTTGTAAAGGATGTAGAATTTACAACTTAGAAACCAAGAAAATATTCATATCCAGGAATGTGCTCTAATCAGAATCCTCTGTATATAACACACTTACATGCTTAAGATTTTGGTCACGTTAAATAAACTCATATTTTTATAAGATACTCATAAAATGCTTACAATAAGAATAAAGCTATATTTGGTAAACCTAGATGATAAGTTAGTTGATAGCTTATAAGTAAATTTCTAGCTGAAAAGTATTATGATATGATAAAAAAGTTTGATAAAATTAACTAGTAAGCCAGCTGAAATAAAAATTTCAACGAGCTTATTTTTAAAAAAGCTACCCAAGAAAGCTTATGAGATAAGCTCGAACTTTTTTAAAAAAACTTGTAATACCAAACCAACACTATTTGCATACATGAAACTTATAGTCGACCAAATAAGCTATAAGTTAGCTTATGGTGCTTAGAACACACTCGGAGTCTTCAAACAGGTCACTTTGATCAATGATTTAAAAAAACCAAAAAAAAAAGGAAGAAAATTCATAGTTTCTTTATAGGCAGTGCTTTCCCTAAAACACCAGTTACACTCGGCCGAGAAACAAGACAGTAAAAGGACAATCACTTCAAGTTTGCACCCATATCAAACCCAACAAAAGGTGGAAAAACAAAATGAAAAAAGAACTCACACAATGTGATAATAGCACTTGGTTGATTAAATTTTTGCTGCACTTAAGAATCGGGAACTGTTGCCGTTGGGCGTTTCATGGATGCAGACTTGATCAAATGGTTATAGCTCCCTTTTTCCTTGAACAACTGCGAAAAATGAGGTTTGCAGTATAAGATGCCGTCTAAGGCGGCATAGTTTGACGGGGTCAGCGAGCATCCACCATGAGAACACTTGAAACAAGATTTGTGGTAGCTTTGACTTTCCACTGTCACCTGAAAATCATTTGGTAGGAAGAATCAATCAATCAATCATTTGCTACGCATAACTTTTTACGAGTCCTCTAACATTTTCAGATACATTGACCCTCAGTAACACTCACTTGAGGACTTCAACAGGAATCAGGAACTAAATTTTCATGTCATGATCATAGATTAATCGAAAATGGTTATTGTCCAAATTGTTTGTTCCATGTACTCTTAACTTTAGCAATGGCAGGGACTCGTAACAAGCAAACAATGTGATTCAAGCAGCACAGAGCCCACAATAAATTCTACCACGCAGTCAGAAGATTAAGAAAAGGTTGAATGCAGTCTATTAAAAGAAAGAAAGAAAGAAAAAAAAAAAAAAAAAAAAAAAGGNACTGTAGGGTCATGAGAACAAGTTTAATGGCACTTCGAATGGATCATCAAAACTCCACAAATGTCAGTTTAAAAAGTGATTTTAATTCTTAAAGGTACCTTCTCCAGTGGATAAGCTGTTTTACCACATGTTGCACATTTGTCCTGAGTCCCAGAAAACATACTAGCAGCTTTGCTAGGTGACCTCGTCTGCAATTTTTACAGAAAAAAAGAACAATGAGAATCGAAGGCACCTTATGGTAAGGACCATACTAAAGACTGAAACAGTGGGAAACTTACAAACTCTGGAGTTGACTTCTCAGCTGACTTTGAAGCTGCAGAAAATTCCCATTGACACCATTAAGACAAATAATTGAAAAGAATCTCAAAGTCGGGGGTTGAAAATAAACGTTTTCTATAGGAGATAAGGCATACGGGACTGAAAATTCTTGCTGAAACTGCCGGTCTCCTTAAAAAGCTGCTCATAGTGAGGCTTGCAGTACAGCACACCCTCCATTGATGAGTAGCTGCTCAGCTGGAGCCCAAAAATATAAGCATGGATTAGAACCATTAATAATACAATGAGTATATGCAAAATCTGAGATTCTGTTGCAGCAGTGTTGTTTGACATTAAAAGACACGTCGTCTCTTTGTCATTGTAACTTTAATCATCGTCATCTTCATTTCTTTTAAAAGTCACAATTTGCAATTTCATGGGAAAGCAGTTGATCTAGTTTCTACTTTGCCAACTCATTGTTATCAAGATATCACTCATTATGCTTCCAGAAGATTTATCTAGTGTTCTCCCCGTAATTGATTAGTATTTTTTGATTTTGTGTTTTTGATTTATTCACAGATGAAGACATAGTTAATATGTGATTCAGGGAACAAAACAAAATATGTATGACCAATACGAACACCAAGTGAACACTATGTATAAACACATATGAATAATAAAGTGATAGTATCAGCTTGTTCAGATCTGTAGTTAAAAATATTCATGATTATTGGATTGTTTGGCACATACAACATGCAGTCTTCATTGCATTTGATTAGAAGTACTTCACTAGCCCCAAAAAGGTCATCTTTCACTATAGTTGACAAGCATTTTTAAGCAAAAAAATTGACTAAATATCAAGAAAAATGGTTATAAGAAAAAAAAAAAATACACAAATAACAACTTATCTCATAACTGTCACCAGATTATAAAATTTCAAAAAGAACCATCCATTGAAAGAAACTCTATTATGCTCAATAATCAAACATTAAGAAATCAAGTCTGTCAACAGAGGCAAACAGCCGTTCGTAAACATAGAAAAATGAGGCATTTGATTTATCCATTATCGAGAGTCAAATCATATTAAACCATCACACATATATAAAGTATGTCCAGCCTCAATCAAGACATATATCCCATCCAGTTAGCAAGCAGATAAGACGAACCGTGCAGAGAATCAAGCTCCCCATCAGAACACATAACACCAAGCATAAATATGAAGACAATTCCAGTTGTTGAGATAGCTTTAGGTATTAACTAGATTACATCTAAACACATTCGATGACATGAGTAAAATTGAAACATATCATTTTAAATACATTAGCCACATTTAGTACTCGTAGATATGAAATCATGAGACATCATTAAGAAGCTTAATCCGTGCATAAGTGTTACAGGTGCTAAAATGTAAGATCTTAGAGCAGGAACTATAAAACCCAGAGCACACACCCCAAGCACATACAAAAGCTAGCAATCGAGATAATCTTTTACTAGCAAGCAAAAATGGACAAGATGCATAACGGAAAAAAGTAAGAATTACACAAGTATAGGACACAATGCTTGTAAAATAATTAAGTGAAGTAGATAATCAGTTATAGACAACTGGTTGGAACCTTGAGGGTCCCTTTGCAATGGGAACATTTGAAGCAAGACTTATGATAACTAACACCATCAGCAGATAACAGCTCAACCGGATAAACAGTTTTCTCGCAGGCCTTGCATTTCTGTTGTGTTCCCATAAAAGACATTTTGCTTTGTATCCCTTTTCAAGACAGAACAAGAACCAGCAGATCTGATCTTCCCAAATACACTCGCCTCTATGATCCTATGTATCCAACCCTGAAAACTATAAAATGAGCACTTCATTGCATTTCTTAGCCCAGGATTTTTACCATAACAGCCGACCTATTAACTTAGAGCAAAGTTTCAGATTTAAAAATGGAGTCTTTAAGAGAAGAAATTTAACCCATTTGGCCAAGAAGTGCATACCTTTCAAATAGATAGCGATTGGTGGTTAAGCTTAAGGTGCTCGATCAATGTCTGGTCCCAGTTCAAAAACCCCCAAAAGAGAGATGTATAATATGGTGGATTAAGGCACCCCACTTTGTGCATAGATATTTATATGCGTGGATAATGTAGCAAAATGCGATGATGAAGAATAATGATGATGATGGATATGGATATTTAGTATTTACTACTAATATTAGGTAATATCATCGCTGGAAGCGCATAAATTCTACTTTGACTCCTGCTGTGGATGGAATTTCAGTAGACCCTTTNGTATTTAAATGAAAACGGACTTACGGACGCCAAGATTTTACAGTTTAGTTGATAATTATTTTATTTATGTTATTCGTAACTTGCATCTTAGTTGCAATTTACGTTCGACATGATACGCTACGAATATTATAAAATATTATGTGTGGATGAATTAAGTTTGGATTTCCAAATATTATTTTAAATTTTAGAAATTCTAATTTAACCTATAACTTTTAAATTTTTTAAAAGGTTTTGAAAAATTTGAAAATTTCTAAAAAAGTTTTAAATGTTACTCAAAATTCCAAATCAGTACTCCATGCGCAATTGTTTGAAAATTTGTGGGGCTAAATTAAAAGTTTGAAGTAAACAGTATGCTTGATCATGTATAAACTCTATTTTGAAATAGTTTTTTGGATTAAAAAATAATGAAAAAAACTCTGAATGTAGTTTTTTTTTTTTAATAAAGATAATTAGACAATTGTTAAATAAAAAATTTATGTGTAAATAATGAAAAAATAAATTTTTATTTAATTTTTTTTTAAAATATTTTGCTAAAAAATATATTAGTATTTTTTAAGATACAAGATTACAAGTGCAACTGTTCTATATTAGTTTTAGCATTTATTTTTTATTAATAAAAAACTGTTACGTGATAATAAATAATGAAATAATGATGGGATGTGCAAAGTCAAAAAGAAAATAATAATTATTAGTTATAAATATATTAGTTGATGGGATCATGGGACAATAAAATTTAGAGAAATGTGTAGAAATCATTATTAATTTTTATTTTATAGAAAACATGATGAATATAAAAAGTGAAATGAATAACATTTTTGAAACGGCTAATTCCTTTTAAATCCCCAAACCTACTTTCACTTTCCTCTTCAATCCCTAACAAAATTTTCTTCCTTTCCACTCCCTAAAGACAAAAGAATTGGTCCCCTCATAAGGGAAAAATACATTTTTACCCTTATAGCAATTAGATAAAACACAATTTTATCTTTGTACCACTCCTTTAAAGAAAATGTACCAGTATTACTCATAACGGTACCAACTCACTTAAAAAGCATTAAAAAATGAAAAACACTCCCCTCTGGGAAAATATTGAAAAAATTCGAGAAAATCAAGGTCTAATTCTTGAAAGACTCGAAAAAACAAGTAGAAATATTGAATTTCTTGATACTTTACTTTCAGAAATTCTTGATATTGCAGCAAAAGCTGATAAAATCATAGAAAATATTAATAAGATAAACATAAACAGATTAGAAGAAACTCTAACAAAATCAGATGGGAAAATTCCAAAAATTGACCCACTAATAGAAAAACTAAATAAAGTAATCCAACTTGTAAATCAAATTGGAAATGAGTTAGGAATAAATGTCTAAAAATCCGGAAATAGGAAATGTACAACAAATTCTAACAATAGTTAGTGAAATAAAACAAATCGTTCTAAAAATAGAACAAACAATACATCAGTCTGATTCTAGTAACCAAGACACAAAAACAATAGAAATAGAAAAACTTATAAAAGTCTTTAAAGAAAAGAAGTCTATACCTACTTATAGACCCCCCAATGAATGGAATCTTAAAGATTTATTTGAAAAGGACAAATATAAAAGACTAGAAGAGAAAAAATGAGTTCTGATTCAGAATTGAGTCAAAATGAAACTGATGTTCAATCTTTAATAGATAAATATCAGAATATATTATCTTTGAAAGAATTCATAGGTAATTATAGTGAATCCTGTACAGAAAGTGATAGTTCAGAACCTAAAAATCGCTTAAATGTAAAGATTGAAGAAGACCTGAAGGATATTCCTCCAGGACCAAGTAATTATTGTGATACCCATGAATTCATGACTCCTGAAGAATGTAGAAATGATGAATTTTACAATCCAAATGCTGATAGGTATTTTGGAGTATCAGACAAAGATAAAACATATGAAACTTTCCCAGAAGTAAACTTCCCAGGAATGATGAATATGAATAGAAGCAAAACTAAAACTTATAAGAAAAAATCAAAGAATTTTATTCCAAAAGAGTTTATTCCAAAAGATGACTCGAAAAATAATAACGACAACATTCTTGACTTAGACTGTTTAGCAAAACCGGTTGAAAAAATAAAAAGTTGGTACAACTACATGTTAGTAGTAATACAAACTAATAAAGAAGCATTTGAAGACCTAAGAACACTGAGAACATACTTAGAACTTCATATGAAAGGAAATGTTAAAAATTGGTGGGACTCAAATCCATATGTTCCTAGCCTTGATGCTCATTGGAATAAACCAGAAGATAACATAGAATATCTAAATGCTCTTGCTAAATTACTAATTAATGAATTTGTAGGAGTAAGAGAACTAGATAATACAAACGCTGTCTTAGAAGAAAGACATAAAAAGGCAAAGTTCATTTTAGATAATATTCAGATATGTGATATCTGTTATTGGAAAAATTATACATGTGAGTATGAAAAATGGTACTACGTGTTAAGACAAGAAGATAGACCAGCTTATGCTGAAAAATATTTTAATAAACTACCACCTTTGTGGGCTTTTGAAATGAATAAAAAATGGTCTAATAAATCTGACCATATTACCGATGGCTTTGCAGGAAGAGTTAATCTTCTAAAAGAAACAATAGAAGATAGATGCAAAGACACCCAATTAAGAGGAACTCTTTTATACTACCAAAATAAACCTTGTTGTGATCCACAACTTTTAGAAATCCCAAATAAATGGGGATGTAGAACAAAGAAAGAAAAGATTTATCGCAAACAAAACAAGCAAAAATTTAAAAAATATAAGAGATACATTCCCAAGTATAGAAAATATAAAAAAGATAGTTATAATAATACTAATAAACCAAAATATAGAAAAAGGTTTGGAAAGAAAAACAATAAGTATTGCCCTAAGGGCAAAACTAATTGTAGGTGTTGGTTATGTCAAGAAGAAGGACATTATGCTAACGAATGTCCAAAAAGAAATGAACAAAAAGATAAAGTAAAAATGCTTTATGCAATGCAAAAATACAGTTTTGAACCAATTGAGTCAGAAAATGATTCAAATAGCTCAGAATATGAATTAAAATTTGAATTAGAATTTAAAAGGTTTAGTACAAAACCAAATTCAGAATGGGAAAGTTGTAGTGATGAAAGTTCTGATGAATGGAACGATTGTCAAATATAACCAATCCAAATAATACATATATAAAAGTTGGATTTAAATTTCCTGGATATAAACAATATCACCTTCATGGGTATATTGATACTGGAGCAAGTATTTGCGCTGCATCAGCTAGTATTACCCAAAGAAAAGTGGGAAACTGCTAAACAAAAGATTACAGCACAAGTTGCCAATAAAGAGGTTATTACTCTCTCAAAAGTAGCCTATAATGTAACTTTTCACATTGCCGGAGAACAGTTTCATGTTCCAACAATATACCAACAAGATACTGGAGTTGATTTATTGATAGGAAACAATTTTTTGAAATTATACAGACCGTTTGTTCAAGAACTTGATTATGTCTTGCTCCATCTTAATGGTACAGCAGTACATATTAGTATTGTCAGTAAAGCTTATAGCTTTGCATCCGAAAAATTTATGGAACATAACGCCAAACTACGAAAACGTGGTGAGGTTATAAAAAATCCAAAGAAAAATATTGCATATAATGAGGAAACAAAAGATCTAGAAAGAATCTTTTTCAAAACAATGCAATGTAAATTTATTATGAAAACTTTACTTTCACAACACGAAACGATTTATAAACTATCTCTTGAAGATTGCCAAAAAGCTCTTAAGAAAATAACGAGTGAAAACCCGTTAGATAAAATACTAAATAAAAGCATACAAAATAAAGCTTTACATGCTGAAATAAAACTCATTGATCCTACAAAAGTTATAAGAGTTAAACCCATGAGTTATACTCCTCGAGACGGAGAAGAATTTAATATACAGATAAAAGAATTACTTGAAATAAAAGTAATTAGACCAAGTAATTCAATGCATAGTAGTCCAGCCTTTCTGGTTGAAAAAGAATCAGAAAAGAGACGAAATAAAAGAAGAATGGTCATTAACTACAAAAGGTTAAATGACTATACTGAAATGGATGGATATTTCTTACCTAAAAAGGAAGAATTATTCCATTTAATCAAAGACATGAAATATTTTAGTACATTTGACTGTAAGAGTGGCTTTTGGCAAGTACCTCTTAAAGAAGAATGTCGTAAATTAACAGCATTCAGTTGTCCCAATGGACATTATGAGTGGAATGTAGTCCCTTTTGGACTAAAACAAGCACCTGGAATATTCCAACGAAGAATTGATAATGCTTTGTGTCTAAAAGACCCAAGTAAAGAGTTTAAAAATATTTGTACAGTCTATGTTGACGATATAATAGTCTTCAGCAAAACTGAACAAGATCATTATGTACATGTAATCCGTGTACTTGAACAATGTCTCAAAGAAGGAATAATACTCTCTGAGAAAAAAGCAAAGATTGCCCAAACCAAGATTAATTTCTTAGGTTTAGAAATAGAAAATGGGAGTTTAACTATGCAACCGCATATTATGACCAAAATATCTGAATTTCCCTCAGAAATAAAAGATAAGAAACAACTTCAAAGGTTTCTTGGAATATTAAACTATGTAGAAGGATATGTAGCCAATCTGGCAGAAATACGAAAACCTCTACAAGTAAAACTGAAAAAAGATGTAGAATTCATCTGGTTACCAAGTGATACATTGTATGTAGATAAGATAAAAAGAAAACTCAAAATCTTACCAACTTTATATCATCCACAAGAAGATGATTTCATGATCTTAGAAACAGATGCCTCTAATACATACTGGAGTGCAGTTTTAAAAGCGAAACCAGTAGACTCTACTATAGAGAAACTGTGTAGATATACGTCAGGAACTTTTAAAAGTGCTGAAAACAACTATCACAGTAATGAGAAAGAATGGCTTGCAGTTCTACGAGGCATTCAAAAATTTAAAATTTATCTCATCTCTAAAAAATTCTTAGTAAGAACTGACAATAAAAACTTCAGTTATTTTGTTAAAAATGAATTCAAAGGAGATTATAAACAAGGTAGATTAATTAGGTGGCAATTACACTTAAAACACTACCAGTTTGATGTTGAATACATAAAAGGTGATAAAAATTGTCTTGCAGACTGTTTAACTCGTGAATTTGCAGGTGCAAACTGAACA